CTTTTCTCTTTACGCTGCTGGCGCCGGTTCCTCCGTGACTCAGCTGGCACCTGTCCCAACGTGCCCGGGCACTGGCCGTCCCTCCTATCGCCCCACTGGGGAGCTGGACTCCTCCCAGTGCTAGGTGTTCCTGCAGAACATGGGGGAATAGAACCCAGGTGTCCTGACTTCCAGCTTCCTCATTGTTCTAACCCACTAGATCCTACTGCCTGCCTCGAGCTGGGGAGAGAACCCAGGAGTCCTGGCTCCCAGTCCCTGCTCCCCACTGTTCTAACCCCTAGATCCCTGCCGTTCACAGTCCTGGTGCTGGAACTCTGGAGTAGGGTCTTGCTGTGGGAATGGAGGTGCGGGGCTGGATGGGCGTCAGGACTCTTGGGATCGATCGCCAGCTCAGGGGTGCGGGGATGGTGTCCAGTGGTAGGCGCAGGGAGGGCTGGATTGCAGTATGCTGGCCAGTAGATCTGAGTCACTGCTGCTCTCTACTGGCTGGCATCGGGCCTGCTCAGCTGTGTGTCATCAGCCCCGTATTGCTCGCGGCGTGTGGCAATTGTCCATTAGCTAAAGATGCAGGATTTTGGCAGCAGGAGGATCTGAGCTGTCTCCTCGCTGCCGCTGCGAAGTGCTGAGTGGCCTCACAATGCCAAGCAGCGTTATTATTAGACATTGGTGGGACGGGCACGAGCTCCACTAGGGGGTGTATTATCAATGGGGGCTCACGTGTCGTAGCTTGTGTCGGCCAAGCTCCTTGCCTCCCCCAGAGCTCCTTGCCTCCCTCCATCCCCCAGCAGCTGCCTCGGGCCACCCTCCCAGCCCCTGTTAGATCAGGGACATCCCTGCCCCCAGGGGTGCTACGTGCCCCTCCCACTCCCATAGGAGGGTTCCCTATTCTTCCCCCCATGTCAGTGACTGTGTGTGCCCTTGGTCCCACCCCCCATGCCGGTGGCTCTGTGTGCCCCCAGTCCCCCCCCGCCAGTAGCTCTCTGTGTGTGCCCCCAGTCCTGCCCCCCGGCCAGTGGCTCTGCATGTGCCCCCAGTCCTCCCCTCCCCCACCAGCGGCTCTGTGTGTACCCCCAGTCCCGCCAGCCATACCCTCCATTCTCCTCAGTGGCACGCAGAGTGCCCCCTTACTCCTTCTCCTCATGCAATGGGCTCTGTATGTCCCATCCCCCCATTCCAGGATCCCCTATTATCCTTGTCAGGGTTCTGTGTGCCACCCATGTCCCGCTCCCTCCCTTACTCCGATCCCGCATTCTCCCCCCACGCCAGAGGCAGAGGGCAGGCCCACATTCCTCCCCCCCGCCACCCTCGCCCACTTATTATTTGTCTGGGCGATGTCACTCAGGTGTTGGGGCGTCTCCGGGTTACACTCCATTGGGAGGCTGAGCTGAGCAGGGCTGGTGTGATGCTGGAAGCGTTAATAGGTGCCCTCGACCAGTGCTTTGCTCTGCAGACAATTGCGGAGGTGCTCGGCGCTGTGGCTGTGCAGAGGCTCAATGGGTCCCCCCGTTTCCCCTTCCGGTTTCCCGATTTGCTCCAGAATCCATCGGATTCTGGCCCGTGATGCCTCAACCATTCCCTGAAATGCTGGAAGCGATCGGCTGCGGTGCTCATAACTTGTAGCCTGGCCCACAGACCGACCCAGAAATGCTAACCGAGTGTCAGGGCCTTCGTGAGCTGGGCTGGGGTTATGGTACTGCCCCCAGGCCCCAGCCAAGAGCACGGCTCCATTATCTCGTGTGCGTTATTTGGAGTATTACGGTAGATACTAACAGGCCCAGCTGAGATCAGGGCCCCATTACAGCATGTGTGTTTCTATTAAGGCCACTGTAGCACATCAGGGGTGTGCATTATTGGTACTATTACGGTAGCACCTACAGACCTCAACTGAGTTTGTCCCCCGTTACGTCATGCACGTTATTGCTAGGATTACGGTAGTGCCTGGAGGCCCCAGCTGAGCTTGGAACACTGTGATCCTGTGAGCCCAACTAGCTCGGTATCCCCCCACCCTCCCTGCTACCCCCAATCACAGCAGGGGCCCACCCAGCCTGGTATCCCCACCACCCTCCCTGCTACCCACGGTCAGACCCAGGGCCCACCCAGCCTGGTATCCCCCCCCCAACCCTCCCTGCTACCCACGGTCAGACCCAGGGCCCATCCGTTTGGTAAGGTCTGTCACTCTGTAGCTGGGAGCCTAGGAGCTGGTGGGTGGGGGCCTGTGACCGGGCTGTGGGAGGCAGATCTGCCAGCCTGGCAGCCTGCCCTGTCTGTGTCCAGCACTGTCCCTGTGCCAGGCTCGCTGAGGGAGGAATGCAGCAATGCAGGTTCTCTCAGGCACATCCAGGTCAGACCACACCCTCCACGCTGCTTAAACTAGACGTTGTTGCCGTCACTGTGCCCAGGTGGGAAAGAAAAGTGTGAAGACCCAAGACTCCTTCTGGCTCCTGCAGTAGCTGAGGATGGCATCCGGGAGTCCCGACTCTCAGCCTACCTGCTTTAACCCACTAGACTCCACTCCCCCCTCCCACAGCTGGGATAGAACCCAGGAGTCCTGGCTCCCAGCTCCCCTGATCCAATCACAAGACCCCACTCTCCTGTCAAAGCAAGGATCATGAGTTTTGGTTTGTTGTTGTAGGGTTGCCTGCAGTGGTCTGTGCACACCCAGAGATTTCCCATCTGGCCACTGTTGGGTGTCCCACGTCTGCAATGAGTTTGGCGGGTCTCAGCTGTGTTCCTCGTGATACCGGTGCTCTCCTGAAACTGGCACTCGCTTCTCTCCTCACCCTCAGTCTCCGTGGCGAGAGTGGGGGCTGAAATGACCTCAGAGTCAGACACTCTCTCGCCACTTCAGGCGAACTATCTCAGTCCCTGTCCTGGGCCGAGGGGGCATGGCATGATGGGGCATGCCCTGATCACACTGTGCCTTGGGATGCTGCAGAGAGGCGGGGGAAGGGGCACCTGAGGCAGGTGAACAAGTTGGTGCGTAGCAACCACAAGTGCCTAATTGGAGACAATCTTGAAAAGTTGCAACATCGTAAATCGCTTTTGCGTTGTGCTTGCTGCTGTGAGCAGGCAGGGAGCCTGGACTCCTGGGTTCTGTGCCTGGCTCTGGAAGGGGTGTGGGTCTAGGGGTTAGAGCAGGAGGCGCTGGGAGTCAGGACTCCTGGGTTCTATTCCCGGATCTGGGAGGGGAGTAGGGTCTGATGACTGGTGGGAGGGTGATTTATACAGCCCTGCCTGCAGGCCCAGCGTTTAATGCACATCTGCAGACCCCCTCCCTGGGCCATGCAGGAACAGCACCGGACCAGCGTGTCCACGGAGGCTCCGGCCAGGCTGCTACTCGCCAGTTAACTTCTTTGCTGCTCCGTGCAGTCGCTAGGAGTGGGTGGCAGGCTTATGAGCCGGTGCCGGAATCCTAAACTCAGCAAGTCTCTTGCGGCTTCAATCCAGTCCCCGGCTGGGCCATCTAGGTGCCTCCCCCGTTGCCCAACATCTTGCAAAATGCCTTTGCTCTGTGGAAGGAATAATCGGGCTTCAAAACGCCTGCCAGAAGCCAGTTAGCAGGGCCCATGTAATGCCTCTTCCCTGGGGATTATCCTGTTTTGTTTATATCATCGTATATAGTCCATCGAGGCCATGGCTAGGAAAGTTGTGGGGTCTAGTGGACAGGGCACTGGAGAGGGAGTCAGGACTCCTGGGTTCTAGTCCTGGCTCTGGGAGGGGAGTGTGGTCTAGTGGGTTACAGCCTGGGGATGGGTGTCAGGCCTCCCGGGGTACACCTGCACAGCAATCTGAAGCCCGTAGCCGGGAGTCTCAAAGCCCAGGTCTGCTCACTCGGGCTCGCGCCATGGCGCTAAAACTAGCCGTGCTGGTGCTGTGAAGCGATAGAGGCGGGCGGGCTGAGATGTGCTGCTGCAGGTTGCTGCTAGGGTGACCAGACAGCAAGTGTGAAAAATTGGGATGGGGGTGGGGGGAATAGGCGCCGATATAGGACACACCCCCAAATAGTGGGACTGTCCCTATAAAATCGGGACAGCTGGTCCCCGTAGTTGCTGCTGGCTGCAGGCAAACCCCTAGAGTCTGGTCCCAGCTCCGCCACAGACGGGCTGTGTGACCTTGGGCAAGTCCCTTCCCCTCTCAGGGCCTTTGTTTCTATTGCCACCCATGTCTGTCTTGGCTGTAAGAGCTTTGGGGCAGGGACTGTCCCGCACTGTTGGGTCTGTGCAGCACCTGGCGCAATGTGGCCCCGTTGAGCCAGGCGCTGCACAGACCCCGACCAAGATCAGGGCCCCATTGAGCCAGGCGCTGCACAGACCCCGACCGAGATCAAGGGCCTGCATCATGCCAGGTGCCGCACAGGTTGTAACTGAGATTGGGCCCCCATTGTGATGAAGGCTGTACAGACTCTGACCCCCATTGTTCTGGGTGCTGCTGCACAGACCCTGACTGAGATCAGGGCCCCCACTCTGCCAGGCGCTGCACAGACACATGAGAGAAAGTCCCTGCCCAAAGAGCTCACAGTCTAACTAGACAAAGGAAGGCTTGTTTGCCACATTTTACAGGTTCAGGAGCTGAGTCCCAGAGAGCCAAATCTCCAACTGATGGAGATGGACACGGCTCCACTGGTCAGTGAAGTCACAACCATTTACACCAGCTGAGGATCAGTGCAGAGCGATTCATTGACTTGCCAAGGCACATGGGGAGTCAATGCTGGAGCTGGAATTAGCCTCAGCCTAGTGCCTTAGCCACAATGCCAGCTTTCCTCTTTCAGATTGTTGATACACCCAAGAGGCCTGACTTGCAGACACCCCTACCCCCACCCCCACGCTCTAACCCACTAGAACCCACTCCCCTCCCAGAGTCAGGGATAGAACCCTGGAGGCCTGACTCCCATTCCTATTCCTGGGTTCAAGCCACTAGCCCACCCCTCTGTCTCCAGGCAGTTCCCCTCATTTGCAAAGCCCCTGGGTAGCTGAGGTCTCTCTGTGTGTCTCCCTGCCCAGCCACCCCGTTCGTCACCAAGGTGAAGGAGATGTGCCTGCGCCGGGAGGACTTTGAGATTCTGAAGGTCATCGGGCGAGGGGCCTTTGGCGAGGTGAGCGCTGCCAGCCATCCCTGCTTGGACTCACGAGGGGCTAGTGGTCCTCAGTTTTGGCCATAGTCACGGGTGCAGTGCGGGGCACAGTACCACCTGCTGCCCCTGCTGTGTCCTGCTAAATGCAGTATCACCTTTTGTCACTGGGTGGGGCTGACCTATTGGAGACCTGCAGGGTGCAATACCATCTCCTGTCACAAGGTGGTGCTGGAGCTCTTGCTGGGTGCAGTACTGCCTACTGTCACTGGGAGGCTGGGGAGGTCCTGGGGCAGGTTGGCTGCAGGTAGCAGAGGGAAGACCAGGGAGTGGGGCTGTAGCAGGTTATTCCCACAGGGAGAGAGGGTAGGGCTCCATGCAGGCATGGTCCCTCCCTGCTGCCCCTGCAGCTATTTTGGGGCCAATGCAGACTGGCTCCTGGAGGTCCCCTCTCTGATCCCATGCTCTGGCCACCAGGTGGCAGTGGTGAGGCTGCGGAACAGCGAGAAGGTTTATGCCATGAAGATACTGCACAAGTGGGAGATGCTGAAGAGAGCGGAGGTACCTAACCCTAATCCTGCCCCCAGATTCCCCCCCCCGCACGCTCACTACCCATGGTCCCCTCCCTCCCATCCCACAGATTCCCTGCCTTGTGGCAGTGAACAATGGCAGGTATCCCATTTTCAGGCTGGATGGGCCCATGGGTCTGATCTGAAATGGCAGGGGATTGGGGAGGGATACCGGTATGGATGGGCCCATGGGTCTGTCCAGAACAGAAGTGGGTGGGGGGAGACTGCGCTGGATGGGCCCTTTGCCCCAGTGCTGCAGCACTTTCTGCAGTGGCCTTGCTATGACAGAGCCCTGCAACCTCCCTGCCCTGGGGTGCATCCCCTGAGGCCTCACCATCTCCCTGCAATCCCCTTGCAGACAGCCTGCTTCCGGGAGGAGAGGGACGTACTGGTGAAAGGGGACAGGCAGTGGATCACTGCCCTGCACTACGCCTTCCAGGATGAGCAGTACCTGGTAAGACTCTCCTCTGGGGGGGGCCGCTGAATTGCAAGGGGATCCTTGGTCCCTCAAGCACCATCTCCTTGCTCCCATGGACCAGGAGACCCTTTCCTGGTGGAAGCGGCTGCACAGGCCTGGGTTAAATCCTGCTCTGGCTGCATCCAGAGGAAAATGTTAGGAGGTATGCATCTGGTTGCCAGCAGGTGGCGCTGTGGGAGCTGGGCATTGCCAACAGGGTGTGTGTAGGGCAGGCTGGGCATTGCCAGCAGATGGCGCTGTGTGGGTGGCTGGCATTGCTGGAGGAGCTGCAGGTGCTGGGTATTCCCAGCAGATGGCGCTGTAGGGCTGCATTGTTTGCAGCTGCCATGAGTTATTTTGCAGGTCCTGCAAGGCTCATTACAGGTGACTGGCACAGCCTCCAGGGAGGGGATTCCCCCCCCCCCTCCGCACACACACACATACATCCCCCCAACTAATGCTGCCCCCCCTGTCTGCAGTATCTAGTGATGGATTACTACGTGGGTGGGGATCTGCTGACCTTGCTGAGCAAGTTCGAGGACCGGCTGCCCGAGGACATGGCCTGCTTCTACCTGGCTGAGATGGTCCTGGCCATTCACTCCATCCACCAGCTGCAATACGTGCACAGGTACGGCCTGGCTCCCAGACCCCCCGGCTCTAACCCGTCGGACCCTACTCCCCGCCTAGGGCTGGGATAGGACCCAGGAGTCCTGGCTCCCAGCCCCCTGCTGTAATCATATAGTCCTGTTTACTTTATCAGTAGCTGGTCCCTCTCTGCCTTCTCCCCTCTCTCCCCACAGGGACATTAAGCCAGATAATGTCCTGATTGACATGAATGGACACATCCGCTTGGCTGACTTTGGCTCCTGTCTTCGACTGCGACCAGATGGGACGGTGAGAGGCACAAGCTGCCGCAGGCACTGAATGTGTGATGCCTGCAGAGCAGGAACCTCCACAGACCCAGGCCTGGGTCAGCCCCTACAGCCTATTTCCCCTTTGTGGAGTGGGATCAGCCCCTACTGCCTATTGCCCAGGACTCCGATCAGTCTAGGGTTACAGTTCCTGGGCAATGGGGCTCCTGGCCCTTCCCTTGTGGAACTGGGGGTGGATTGACCAGCTCCTGTGTGCTCCGGGATGGGGATCCCATGGGATGTGGGCTGCCATGGCTGCACATGGAGATAGACACCCTGTCTCCCCTCCTGGCCAGGTGGAGTCTGCAGTGGCAGTGGGGACCCCTGACTACATCTCCCCTGAGATCCTGCAGGCCATGGAGGACGGGAAGGGGAAGTACGGCCCTGAGTGCGACTGGTGGTCCCTGGGCGTCTGCATGTATGAACTGCTCTTCGGGGAGACACCCTTCTATGCTGAGTCCCTGGTGGAGACCTATGGCAAGATCATGGACCATGAGGTGAGCCTGGCAGGGCAGAGTGCCCCGGCCAGGCCTCCCGGAGCCTGCCGAGAGGGCCTTGAAACAGGGGGTGTATGGTGCAGGCTTTGCTGCAAAGGGGTGGATGCTTGGGAGAGTCTGAGAGGAGGTAGGGTGGTGAGGGGTGTTGGAGAATCCGTGTGTAGATGGGGAGGGATGGATGAGGAGTGGGGATGAATAGATGGGTAGATTAATATGGGTTGATATCTGGATGGATGGATGGATGGATGGATGAAAGAATATGGTTGGATGGATTGGTAGGTGAAGATGGATAGATGAATATGGGTAGGTGGATGGATGGATGGATAGATTAATATGGTAAGGTGGATGGATGGGGCATGGTGATGGATAGATGAATATGGATAGATGGATGGATGAAGATGGATAGATGAATATGGGTGGGTGGATGGGGATGGGTGGATGCGATTGGGGATGGATAGATGAATATGGGTGGATAGGTAGGTGGGTGGATGGATGGATGGATGGATGGGGAATGGGGATGGACAGATAAGTAGATGAATATGGGCAGATAGGTGGATGGATAGGGATGGAGTTGGGGATGGCTGGGTGGATGGATAGATAGATGAACATGGCTGGCTGGGTGAATGGATGCGTGTGTGGATGGGGATGGGTAGATGGGAAGGGACGGCTGGAGGAAGGGAGGAATGGATGGGTAGATGAGGGTGGGTGAGTAGATGGAGTGGAGGGAAGGAGAGGGATGTTTGCTTGAATGGAATGGAGGAAGGATGGGTACAAGGGAATGAAAGGGGGTGTATGGTGATAACTGGGTGGGTAGAGGGGGATAAATACGAATACATCTGCATGTATTTGAATAAATTGTGCATACAGGAGACTGATTTGTGTGGTCATTTCAATCAATTTTGTGTGTATTCATGTTAATTTGCATACACTGGGATTATTTGGCATGTGTGCTGATAGCTCTGTCCGGAGGTGCAGAGAACGTGATGGGCAAAGGGACAACGAGCTAGGAAGCCAGCTAGGAACTCCAGCCTGACTCCCCCCATCAATCCCTCTGCACTGAGCCCCTTTGGCTTGTGTCCCCCTACAGGACCACCTGCAGTTCCCCACAGACATCACGGACGTGTCGGAGCCAGCCAAGGACCTGATCCGGGGGCTGCTGTGCCACCAGGAGCTGCGACTGGGGCAGAACGGCATTGAGGACTTCAAGCGGCACCCCTTCTTTGAAGGCATCGACTGGGACAACATCCGAGCCAGCACGCCCCCCTACGTGCCTGAGGTCAACAGCCCCGCAGACACCTCCAACTTTGACGTGGACGACGACACACTCAAGGAGTTGGTGAGTGCAGCGCTAGGGGGCGCTGTGCTGCACGGAGGGGGCGGTGGTCTCGGTACGGGGTGCTTTGCTCTCACAGTCGGTGCTGGTCCCAGTGCTATGCTATGGGATGCTGTGCTGCTGACAGGGCCTACTTTCCTCTAAGGCTGTAGAACTGAGGTCCTGGCCACACAGAGTCATTGAGGTTCCTCAGATGCTGTGTAAACAGCCCCTGCGTGCCCCGGCCCAGGAGTGGGGGTGTATCCGCGCTGGCTGCCATGATCTCTTTGTGATGTGTGTCGTCCCTCTCTGATCTCCCAGGAGACACTGCCCCCTGTTTCTCACAGTGCGTTCACTGGCCACCATCTTCCCTTTGTGGGGTTCACCTTCACCTCTGGCTGGTAAGTACGAGCCCCTGGCAGGGACACCCAGTCCCTCTCCACAGCTGTTCCCCTGGGGGCCAGAGAGGCCAGCGTTGTTATCACTTCAATGCGCATCCATGATCCCCCCGCCCTGGCTTAGACCCATGGGCCCATCTCACCTGTCTCTGACACCCTGGATCAAACCAATGGGCCCATCCAGCCCAGCTTGCCCCCTCTGGGCCGCCCCAGGTCAGACCCATGGGCCCCCTTTCCTGCCACCCCAGATCAAACCCATAGGTCCATCCAGCCCAGCATGCTCCCCTCCCTGCCACCCCAGGTCAGAGCCATGGGACCCCCTCCCTGCTGCACTGAGCCCATTCAGCCTGGTATCCCCTCATGGGCCACGTGTGAACTCGGTGCCCTCTGGCCAGGATTGAACTCATCACCTCGAGATCTAGAGACACGAGACTCTAGGGGTCAGGCTGAAGGACCACCCAGTCTGGGGATGCCGAGGCTTCTGCCACTTGTTGCAGCCACCAGGGGGCGACAAAGAGCCACATCCTGGGCTAAGCTGACCAAGCGGGATGCTCACGCATGCTCCCCCTCACCGTGTCCTGCAGCCCCGTCTCTGAGCAGAAGCCCCCATCCCCTTCCACATCCCCTGCCGTGGCCCGGCTGGAGAAGAAGATCCGGAACCTGGAGCGGGAGAAGATGGAGCTGGCCCGGAAACTTCAAGGTGAGGCAGGTGGTGCTTGGAGGGTTAAATCCCAAAGATCTGCCCTGTCTAGCAGCTTAGATGCCCCCCTCTTGCACCCTTATCCCTGTAGTCTCTGCACACCTGGTCATGGATGTATCTGCATCATCATCATCTGGCAGAGGAAGTGACACTGAGTCTGGGAACAGAACCAGGGTGGAGCCCTGCCTGCCAACCTCCTGCCCTAACCCACTAGACCACTGACCCTCCCAGAGCTAGGGATAGACCTCAGGAGTCCTGACTCTCAGCCCTCTGCTCTAACCACTGCACCCCTCTCCCCTCCTAGAGCTGGGGAGAGAACCCAGCAGCTGTTTACGAGGGATGCCCCAGGAGAGAGCTTGGGGCCATCCCTCTCCTTCCTGCTCAGTCCCTTTCGTCCAGTTTTGGGGGCTGACCCATTTTGGTTCCACCTAACATTTCCCCATGCAGACAAGCTGCCCAGATTTCCCCACCCCCCCTCGAGTTTCCAAAGCCCCAGCCAAGGACTCAGAAATTGGGAGCTTGAAGAGAGAAACAGAGATGTGTAGAAAGTTGACAGGCAGGTACTGATGCCTGAGGGATAGGGGGTGTGGATCAGCTGGGCCATTGATCTTATCTGGGATCTGATCTGGGGTAGTGGGGTGGTGGGAGAGGAGACCAGACTGGTTGGGCCCATGGGTCTGATTAGAGGTAAGTAAATTCCCTGGTGTCTCTAATGCTCAGAGAGCCAGTCGGAAGCCGAAGACACGATAAAGCAGCGGCTGGAGGGGGAGGCGTCTGGGCAGGTGAAAATCCTGGAGAAGCAACTGAAATCGCTCAGACAGGAGAGGGACGAGGCCCGTAAGGTGAGATGCTCCCAGGAGTCCTGCTACTGCCCCTTCCACCTGTACAGAATAACTGGGATCCCTGGCCCGGCACTGAGATGCAGCCACCTCTGTGATGGAGCACAGCAGCCGGTTTAACGGTGATTGTACCCCCACAGGAACTGTCGGAGGCCCAGGAGCTGCTGAAGGCCCAGGGCCAGGAGCTGCAGGAGCTCCTGGCCAGGCAGAAGCAAACGGCAGAGGAGCTGCGCTGCGCTGAGGCCAAGTGCGGGGACCTGCAGGCCCAGCTACTCCGGCATGTGCGCCAGCTGCGGGAACGGCAGGAGGAGACCGAGGCAGCTGCCCGGCGTGTGGACGGCCTGCGCAAGGAGCTGGCACGGGTGGAAAGTGGGCGCAAGGAGGTAACCGGGCAGCGCCCACCCCTTCCTGGATGCACCAAGCATGGGACCCCTCCTAGTGAGGACCTTGCACGCATGCATCACCAGGTCATGTCCCTCCCTGCTGTGTGCATGAGATGCCCCCTGGTGGTTTGCATTGTGCCGCACCAGCCTCACCCTCCCTGTGCTACGAATGGGACTTCACCTGGTGGCTCCTTGCACCCAGGCATCATACAGCACCAACTGCACACCCCCCCGACACCCTCTGCTGGCAGCCTGTCATCTGTGCATGATGCTGAGCCACATGCCTCTTGTGCTGAATGCACAGTGCCCCCTGCTGGCCAGCACTGACTGTGTTCCCCAGCTGGCAGCTAGGGGACCGGGCAGGGGTTAAATTCCAGTTTCATAGATTCATAGATATTAAGGTCAGAAGGGACCATTATGATCATCTAGTCCGACCTCCTGCACAACGCAGGCCACAGAATCTCACCCACCCATTCCTGCGACAAACCTCTCACCTATGTCTGAGCTATTGAAGTCCTCAAATCGTGGTTTAAAGACTTCATGGAGCAGAGAATCCTGCAGCAAGTGACCCGTGCCCCATGCTACAGAGGAAGGCGAAAAACCTCCAGGGCCTCTTCCAATCTGCCCTGGAGGAAAATTCCTTCCCGACCCCAAATATGGCGATCAGCTAAACCCTGAGCATATGGGCAAGATTCACCAGCCAGATATTATAGAAAATTCTTTCCTGGGTAACTCAGATCCCACCCCATCTAACATCCCATCACAGGCCATTAGGCCTATTTACCATGAATATTTAAAGATCAATTAATTACCAAAATCATGTTATCCCATCATACCATCTTCTCCATAAACTTATTGAGTTTAATCTTAAAGCCAGATAGATCTAGTTATCTGGCAATCAGTGACAGCTAAGCATAGTTAAACTGGATGCCTTTAAGAACAGGCCGGAAGGGGGGGGGGGGAAGCTGCAAGGCAGAGCTGTGTTGGGGTAGGAGGATACTGGGGCTGCTCTGTGCCCGGTTAGGGGTGCACCTGAAAAGTAAAAATAATCCCTCCCATCAGAAGGACTTTGCTGCTGAGTGTCCCCCAGTAATCCTGGTTCCCCTGTGCTGTCTTTGAGGCTCTCTGGGTAGTGTGGAGGATGTGGGAGCAGAATCCAGCCCCCTTGTGAGTTGCCTTAGGTCAGGAGGGACTGGCACCCCTGGGGGTGACCCCAAACAGAGAGGGGGTGTAAAAGGTTTAGAATAGGGTCCCTGCTGCCTTTGGGCCTGACTCCTGTGTGCATGCCTGGGGCAGGGGCACAAGCAGGGAGTGTTTGGCTTCCCCTCCTTGTCCTGGGTTGAGCCCCTTCTGCTGGGACTCAGTCTCTGGGCCCTGTCCTCCCCTGTCTCTCACCTCACGCTGGGTAGTTAGTCCTGGGTCTGCTGAGTCCTGCAAACCTACATCACTGGGGGCTGGCAGTGCGGGGGATGACCTGGGAGTGGGCTAGGATCCATACCCCAACCCTCAGCCAGGCATCTCACACTCTGGGGCTGGGTCAGAGCCAGGGGGCCCCAGAGGGGAATGGCCCCATGTCTTGTTTCCCAATCCCCTGAACCAGCCATTTCTCCTCCCCTGGGTCTGACTCCCGGGGAAGGGCCCAGGGCCCCCCAGCGCCCTCGCCTCAGGCCCATTGTTCTCCCAGCCCTGGGGCTGTGGGGGTGCTCAAGGCTGATGGCCCTCCCACCCCCACAGCTGGAGTCTCGGGTCAAAGGTCTCTCCAGCGAAGTGTCCAAGCAGCAGAAGCTGAAGGAGAGAAGTGAGCAGCAGGCGAGGAAGATGAGGCAGGAGCTGGAGGGGCTGAAGGTGAGGGGGAAGGGGGCTGGGTACGTGGGGAGTAATGCACCAGTGCCCCTCGCACAGGTAGGCAGTCAGAGAGTGCAGCCTCCAGAGCATTCCCCTCCCCTGCCCAGCAGGGGCCTGGGGGCAGGGGGCAGTGAGCGCACGCGGGCCCCTTGACTGGTCAGTGGGGACCCCTGCGGGGGCAATTGGTGAGCACATGAGAGCCCCTTGCCCGGTCAGTGGGAGTCCCTGTGGGGGTGGTTGGCGGATGCATGACGGCCTCTTACCCAGTCAGTGGGGCCCCTGGGGGGGGCAGTTGGTGGGTGCACGAGGGCTCCTTACCTGGTCAGTGGGATCACTCGGGGGGGGGGGCATTTGCCCCGTCAATGGGGGTCCCTGCAGGGAGCATTAGGGTCCCTTGCAGGATTAGGCATCAGCACTCCTCTTTGACCAGTTACTGATACTGCATAAGCGCCCCCCATGGTAATGGAGAAGTGGGTGCCCGTGGTTGAACTCTCCTGCCCCCTGCAGGCGAAGCATGGCACAGCCTCTCTGGACCCTGCCGGCCCCAACCACACCAAGGACCCCACGCTCCCGCGAGGGGACCTGCAGCCCAAGGGGGAGCAGAGGAGCCTTCATGAGCCACTGCAGCAGAGGGAGAGCCAGCAGTGGACTCCACAGGCTGAGCTTGCCCCGCTGCAGGGAAAACTGGAGAAAGCCAGGAAGGAGAGGTGAGTGGGGAGGGGTGATTTGAACCCAGAGCCCTCTCCTGTGCTCAGCATCCCCACTGGTCATGGGCAGGGAGGGGACTTATTTTTTTTCTGGGGAAAGAGAGGGAGATGGAAGGTGGATTTTTCCTGTGAGAAAATTCCTCTTTTTTTATTTGGAAACATTTTTCCCGGAAAAAATTTTTTGGAGTTTTTCTTCGTTTTCCTATTTCCTTTTTCCTCCCTCTTCTCTTGCCCTCTTTCGTTTCATTTCTCCACTTCTGTCACAGACCTGGACACCCTGTTTTTTCCAATAATGATTTATTTTTGCACCCTAGGAATTTTTTCCCTTTTCCCTGCTCTGTCACATTTCAGAAATTTGGGACGTTTCCAATAGTGAGAGTGAGGGGGAAGAACTATTTATTCAATTCCATTCAGTGGTTAAAAGGAAGGGAAAGGGTAAAATTGTTAACTTGAAGAAAAAATTCCAAAAAAAAAAAAATCCACATTTTTAAACTCCGATAAATGGCCATTTTTAACAGGGGAGGAGTTGGGAAAGAAATATCCTTCAGACACAGTTGCTGTTGTGTGACCAACTGGTTACAGCCCCAGAATGGGTTCTGTTCTCGGTTCTGCCACTGGCCTGTTGGGTGACCTGGAGCAAGTCAGTGCCTCTCTCTGTGCCTCAGTTTCCCCATCCGTAAAATGGGGATAATGCCATGGCCCAGATTTTTAAAGCCATGGCTCTCAACCTTTCCAGACTCATGTACCCTTTTCAGGAGTCTGATTTGTCTCTCATACCCCCAAATTTCACCTCACTTAAAAACTACTTGCTTACAAAACCAGAGGTAAAAATACAGACGTGTCCCAGCACACTGTTACTGAGAAATTGCTCACTCTCTCATTTGTACCATATAATTATAAAATAAATCCAGTGGAATATAAACATTGTACTTACCTTTCAGTGGATAGTATATAGAGCAGTATAAACAAGTCATTCTCTCTATGAAATTTTAGTTTGTACTGACTTCGCTAGTACTTTTTGTGGAGCCTGCTGTAAAACTAGGTAACTGTCTCGATGAGTTGATGTACCCCCTGGAAGACCTCGGCGTACCGCTGGTTGAGAAGCACTGTTGTAAAGCACCTTGAGAGCTACAGGTGGAAAGCGTTGGATAAAAGCTAGGGATTAATACTATTATTCCTGTTAGTCATGGCTCTGATGTTCTTTTCCAACCCCTGGGCTCTAGTTTAAGGGAACACGAGGAGCTGACGGACCAGAACGAACGGGAGAGGACTTGGCTGCAGGAAGAGAACAGTAAATTCGCCCAGGAAAAGGAGAGGGTAAGAGGAATATGAATCTCTCCATTTCTCCAAGGTGGGCTTGATTTGGATCTTCCAGAGTTCATGGGGCTCAGCCTCTTGCAATCTGGTTGCTGCTGGGTTGCATGGCTGATGTGCTGCGGGCTGTACTCCCGGCTGCTGTCCCTGGGTAGCTGCAGTGGCTGCATCACTGAAAGCTGCAGTACCGCCTGCTGCCACAGGGGGCATCTCCTGATGGGAGAGTGCTGCGGTCTGCCTGGCTCCAGCCAAAGGGATTGCATGTGGGCTGCAGGTAGTAGAGGGAGGGGTCCTGGAGCAGGGAATGCAGACTGCAGTGGGGCTATTGGATCTTAGCCCCCAGAGGCAGAGAACAGGGTCTCTGGAGCCCCTGCAGCATGCGGGAGGAGGCACAGAGCCCTATCCCTAGCTGGTACCTGAGGGCCGGTCTGTCTCATCTCATTGCAACCCCGCAAGCTCTGCCCTGCTCTCAGAGCTGTACATGAGCAGCTGTTTGCAATTGTCCCCCACAACTTGAATTGGCCCTGAAAAGCCCAGGAACGATTCTGCATGGAGCACCCTCTTCTGGCACTTTAAATAGCTGCTGTATGTATACAGAGCTCTCCTACGTACAGCACACTCTCGAGATGCTCCTTAGCTGGCTGTATACAGATCTCGCCCATGTGTTACAGGCGACCACCAGCTCTGCTGTAGTTAAGGTTGAGACACTCTTTCTGTTTAAAGGTCAACTCTATCAGGTGCTGTAAAATTCACATGCTTAATTGGATTGTCTTGAAATTTGGTTTGCCTCATGGGGGAACAGGGTGGGGTTAGTGAGCCAAATTTGGGGGCATTCAAACAAGAGGTTCCTGAGATACAGCCCCCCAACCCTCCAGCATTTCTTAACGCTGATACATTTCTACCAACTTTGATTGCGCAGATCTGGGGCTCGAACTGTGGGTCTGATCGTCTCAAACACTTGCCATTTATCCCTGCTAGTGCATGGCATTGGCACCCACTGCTTTTTGGGGGAAGCAATATTGAAAATGTTATTCAGAAAAGAGTTAAGCTGTCTGGCTAGAGGCATGTGCTGGATGCATTGCAACGTACATGTGCAGACAGAGCAGCCAAGAGGATTTTGAGTCATTCACTATTCATATGACCTGGATGGCCCAAGGGGACATGCTGTGGGCACTGAACCTGAGCGTACACCTAGGCAATGAGCATTTAAAACCTGCTCTGTGGAGAAGTCAGAGAAAGATCTGCCAGCATGTTGATCCAATCCGCCTCCATCCGAGGAAGGGGGAGCAGGCCGCGGTTATTTGGGGGAAATGGAATTTGAGAACAGCAGATAATTCGGAAGATGCATGTAGCTTAATTCTGGGTGTTAATTCAGAGGTTTGAGTTTTGCTCAATTTGATGTTCTGAAGCACCACAAGATCAGCCGTAACTCTGCATTAGCCAAGTTTGTGGTCAGTGAATAGAGCACGCTCGGGACACGAGGCGATAGTTACATGTGGACAGACCTTGCTCTCATGGTACCATGAGTTAAAAGAATAGGAGGGATTTGAGGGGACGGGGGAGGTAGAGCTGGCCGAACTTTTTCCATCAAAACTTTTTTTCAGTGAAAAATGCAGATTCGGGCAGATGGAAACATTTTGTAAATTTGGGTCGACTTCAGCAAATTGTTTTTGTTGAAATCGAACAAATCAAAAGCTCCAAAACTTGGAGCATGTTGACTTGTTGATGTGAACTGAATTCTCATTTGAAATTACCTTTAATTTTATTTAAAATAACATTTAAAGGGTGGGGGGGACTCAAAAATGACACATTTCAATTGACCTGAAAAAAAACTTTATGGACTTCCTGATTCGTCGAAAATTCCAAAAAAACCTTTGTTTTGGGTCGACTTGATACAAATTTTTTCCTGATATTTTGGAACTGCAAGGAAATGAAAGCCCATTCTCGCCCAGCTCTAGCTGCAGGGTCCTTCCTCCCAAGGTCCCTGAGGCATTGTCTTCCTCTCCTGTTTGCAGCTCCTAGGCCAGGTGGATAAGCTAAATATGGCCAACAGGCAGCTGGAGCAGGAGCTGCGCTCACTGGAGGACCGGAGAGAAACAATCACTAACTGGGAGGCCCAGATCTCTGACATCCTGAAGTGGTATGAGCCCCTCATGATGAGCCAGATGGTGCAGGGATTAGTGCCCCAAGCAGGGTTCGCCGTAGGGTTGGGTGAGAGTACACAAGGGTTACCCTGCTCTTAGAATGAGACAGCATCCGATGGTACCAGGGAACAAGGGTACAGCCTGGGAGTCAGGACTCTAGGTTCTGTTCCTGGCTCTGGGAGGAGAGTTGGGTCTAGTGGTTAGAGCAGGGGGCCGGGCTGGGAGTCAGGACTCCTGGGTTCTATCCCAAGCTCTGGGAGAGGAGTGAGGTCTAGTTGTTTGAACAGGGAGGGTTCGGAAACAGAACACAGCTGTGTTGCTGGCTGTGTGACTTGCTCCAGATCACTTACCCCCCTCACTTGGTTGACATGAACATGCTAGGCTGGGGTCTCCTTTCCCTGGGACTGGGGAATAGATTGCAGGGGCAGATGCTGCTGCCTTGGTCCCACTTGGGCTGGTTTAGCTGGCTCCTGGCAGGGCTTTCTCCTGACTCTCTCTCCCTCCCCTAGGGTCAGTGATGAGAAGGAGTCCAGGGGCTATCTCCAGGCTCTGGCCACTCGCATGACCGAGGAGCTGGAATCCCTGAAACACATCAGCACACAAACGTCAGGTGCCCGGACCCCGGTACGAGCTCAGCGGGGTTGCATGTGTCTGGTGGGGCTGGATTGGAGCCAGCACCCCCACCCCTGAGAGGGGAAAGGCCCCATATCCCATTCCCCAACCCTCTGAGCCAGCCAGTGCCCTGCCCTGGTGCTGAGATTGGAGCTGGGACCCCCTAGGGGGAAGGTTGGGGGTCCCATTCCCTGTGATCCAGGCAGCCCGGGAGTTTCCCTGCTCCTAGCTCAGCTCTTCCTCTCTCCGAATGTGAAGGACAATCACTGGAAGGCCAGGCGCCTGCAGAAGATGGAGGCCTCGGCCAAGCTGGAGCTGCAGTCAGCACTGGAAGCTGAGATCCGGGCCAAGCAGGGTGTCCAGGAGGAGCTGACTGAGATGAAGGCTGCACACCTGGCCACCGAGCGGTGAGGCGGGTGGGGAGCTGATACTTGTTAGCTGGGGAAAGGGTGGGAGCTCCATGCCTTGGGACACTTGCCAGACAGCTGGGGGACTGCCGGTGGCTGAACTGGGACTAGAACCCAGGAGTCCTGGCTCCCAGGCCCCTTGCTCTAAGCACCAGATTCCACTCCCTCCTGGAGGTAGGGATAGGACAGAGGAGCCCACAGACCCCTGATACAGTGGCTAGACAATGCTGCTGCTTCAACAGTTTTCGCCCCGAGATGTTCGTCAGGGTAGAATCTGTTTGGGGAGGGACTGGCGCCTCTGCCATCAGCTGCGTGCGTGCAGCATTGTGCTATCCTTGCCCCGGCCCCGTGGCACCTTTGGAGCAATAAAGACAAGGGTTTCCCTTGTTGTTTGGCTATTTGACAAGGAAATTGCAAGAAGCCGAGGTGCAGAACCGGGCCCTGCAGCTGGAGCTGGAGAAGCTGAAGGAGGAGCTGAAGGTCATGTCTGTGGAGGGTAAGGCCCCAGAACGTCCAGCCTGGTTGAGTACACATGCAGGATGGCTGCTTTGTGGTTACCACTCTAGCCTGGGTTGCCCAAATGAGATCAGGGACACCCCACCATGCCAGGGGCTGCATGCATCCCCCCCCCCCCCCCAGCGATTGAGATTGGGGAGCTGTCCTTGGTACTGCTCAGGCCCACCCTTGAATGAGGTTGGAGGCTCACCCGTTATGCCAGGCACTGCACGGGCCTCCCTGACCAAGACTGGGGGACCCAGTTGTGCCAGGTGCTACACAGACTGTGACCGAGGTCAGGGGCCACTGATGTGCCAGGCACAAAACAGACCCATGGTAAGAGAGTCCCTGTCCCCAAGAGCTCCAGGCCTAAACAAAGGGTGGGCGGGGCAGCGGAGGGGCAGAGAGGAGAAGGGATTCTCCTGAGGTCACTGGCAGAGCCAGGAATAAAACCCAGGTGTCCTGCACCCTCCTCACTAGCTCCTCTCACTGCTCGGCCATGGCTTGACCTTGGGCAAGTCACAGAGTCACTCTGGCCTCAGCTTCCCCACCTGTAAAGTGGGGAGAAGCCATCTTTTGTCTGTCCCGGCTGTCGGCTCTGGGGGACTGAGACTCTCGCTGTGTGTGCAACAACTGGTGGGGGGCATTGTGGTGGCTCAACTGGGAGGGCCTGTGTGGGGCCCCACCCCGATCTCATTTGGGGTCTATAGATGCTATTGTAATAATTCAGTGCTGGTGGAACACACTTAGAAGTGAAAACTCCTAGTTCCCAGCCCTAACCAGCACGTCATGTTCTCATTGACAAATGCAGTGGTTCTGTGAACTGGCTACTGTGTGTGTGTCTGTGTGTCTATGTGCCATTTCCCTCTGCTGGATGCAACGAGAACTTCTCCACCATGTGTCAAATCACCTGTACTGCTAGCAGGTAATGGGGGATTCTCCTTTAGCGCAAATAGGTATGGTCTGGACTTTTGGGAGGGTGGACCTGGGGTCCACTCTGGACCATAGACAGGTTGCTGCTGAGGTGTTACAGTGCTACATGTGAATTTTTCTCTTTCTTCTAGGCACAAAACAACAGGGGCCACTAATTCCCTTCCTATCATTCTGGAGTGCAGAGGTACGTCTGTCAGGCTGTGGCTGGAGCAGGGCAGGCTGCGAGTCAGGGCCCCTGGGTTCTATCCTGGCTCGGGGAGTCGAGGGAGTTAAGACTCCTGGGGTCTGTCCACAGTTCTGGGAGGGGAATGGGGTTTGTTGGTTAGGTTGGGGGGGAAGGAAGTCAGGACTCCTGGGCTCTGTTCCCGGCTCAGGTCTCTCAAGACACTGACCCAGGGGACTTTGTGCTTTAGCTGCATGCACTGATGGTCCCACCCGTCTGTGGGAATTAATAGCTCCTTGATTCATATGGTGCCCTTGAGTGCCACTCCGGGATCAGCACTGACTGAAAGGAAACAGCGCCCCCAACTGAGCCACCACCCCATTCCCTCCAGCACAGCACCCCCTAGTGCCATGCTGGGGCCCGCACTGACTCCGAGGGAGAGCATCCCCTGCCTCATTGCCTTACATGCCGCTGAAGGATTGGATTTGCATGGTGCTTTTTGTTTGGCAGAAGGATGCGATCAGTTTTGGGAGCCCCCCAGACACTCAGGAGAATCGGAGATCGGCCGAGGAGGCCCAGCTGCGCCCAGAAGGGAGGAGAAGCCTCCGAGCCAACGTGAGTAGTAAATGCTGACAGCCTTGCTACGTGATGCCCCCGTGAGGGGCTCAGATGGAGGATGTAGCTCTTGGCTCCCCAGGGCTCACAATTCTACCACACCCCAGTCCTGGGCAGTCTGTCCCCAGCTCTGGGAGGGGAGGGGAGCCAGGACTCTTGGGTTCTATCCTACCTCTGGGAGCGGGAGGGAGTCTGGTGGGTTAGAGCAGGGTGGGGTTCAGAGGCAGGACACCTGGGTTCTATTCCCAGCTCTTCCCCAGATTTGATTTGGAAAAAGTCACTTTCTTGCAGCTCCTTTTGAAATGTTTCCCTCCAAGCTCTCTGTGCTGACTCTGCCCTCTCTCTCCTTGCTGCCCCATTCTTTGCATCCTCACAGCCGGCTCAGTCCAAACCCCCAGCACAGGTAGCTGTTGCTGCAGAAGGAAGCAGCTCAGGTGCACTCAAGGTAACCTGGGGTTTGTGTGTGAGCGTGTGTGTGTTTGCTCTGTTGTGGAGGGGGAGGGCATGGAATGTGTATATATGGGGGTATTTTAGTTGTGTGTGTTAGAACAGGGGATTTGGAGTCAGGACTCCTGGGTTCTCGTCCCAGCTCTGGGAGGGGGGTGGGGTCGGGCTGGGAGCCAGGACTAAGCGTTGTGTTTGTGGCATTTCAGCGTGTGTTGGTACTGTGTGTGTTTGTTGTCTGCTCATGGGAGAAGATTTTGTGTGTTCAAGTTCTCTCTGTGTTTCAGGTGCATGTTTGCGGTCATGATGTGTGATTGTTTGTGCTGCTACGTCAGATCAGAGCCTTCTTCATTTCCACACTTAGCCAGATGATTTCTCAACATGCAGCTGGGGTGGCGCAGTGGCTGAGTGGTTCAGGAGCTTGGTTACTGCCTGGGAAGTTGTGGGTTCAAGTCTCGCTCGAGCTCACCCAGACAAGCCACCTCCGGTCCACCCAGCTCCAACGGGGTACCTGATTCGTCAGGTTGGGGGAGCCAAGTGTATTTGGATGTGGTGCTAGCCCGTGTGTACTGTTGGCTAGGGGAAGCTGACGGTCGTTAACCACATCAGCCTGATGACTTAGGGCAGACTTTGTCTATGATTGAGTGTATGTGACAGTCGGGGTGTGCTGTACACATATCTAGGCATCTTTGTGTCTGCACACGTGGCAGAGAAATCCTCTCTTGCCCTTTTCTAGTGGATTTGTGTAAGTGCATGTGTGATGTGAATCTTTGTTTATATAGGCATGTGGTTGTGTTTTCTCTCTGGCATATGGCATGAGATACATGTGAAAATAGAGCATTTATGTAGAGAGGATTTGTTGTGTGGTGTTCGGGTGTCCGTATGTTTGGTGTGGGGTGTGTGTGATGGAGAGGATTTATACCATGGATTGTGTGGGTGTGTTTTCCTGTGTGTTGTGGTGTGGGTGAGCGTGTATATACTTGCCAAGGTCAGATAAACCCCATCTAGTCAGCTGTCGTGTGGGTATTTTTTTGCACACACGTTACTACATTGTGTGTTGCATTCGCTTTGTATGTCTGCCTGTTGCATGGCAGGGGGTGTTTGGGTATGTGTGCACGTGGCATAAATCCCCTGGAATTTCCCTGATACTGTATTTTTTCTACATGCATTGTGAGTGGGGGGGTGGTATGTAGGTCTATTACAGGTGTGTTGTGTACATATGGGGGGTTCTCTGTATATGTATGTTATGAGCATGGAGTTGTATGGTTCAGTGTGTTGTACAGTTGTATACTGTGAGCATGGGGATGTGGCATGTGCGCCCGATGTGTGCTGTATACTTGTATGCTGTGTGTGCAGATATCTATCTATGGGTCTTTTTAGGTGCTCATGGGGCTGTGCTGTGGGTGTGGGGTGAGCTGTGTGGAGATGACTGTGGGTGGTTAGTGTGTGTGTGTAGTGCATTATGTGGGTCTGTGTACACACATCGGACAAATGCCGGTTTATCCCCCTGTATCTTTGGCTTCCCAAAATCCCTCCCCAGCCGCAGATTGATACCCCTTTTTGTTGTCCCCCCCCCCCCCGTTTTCCAGCCAAAGTCTCACAGCTTCAAGATGCGGAGCTTCACCGTGCCCACCAAATGCATGCGCTGCACCGCGCTCATGGTGGGGCTGCTGCGCCAAGGCTACGCCTGCGAGGGTGAGTGAGGGCCGGGGCTGGCTCTGCCCTGTGCTGGGATCAGATTAGGGCTGCTTTGCAATTGCTTCCCTGAGGTGAATTCCTGAATGGGGCTAAGCACGGGCCTCTGGGCCTAGAGCCTGGGTCCCCGCCATTGAGTGCTGGGCCCGTGGGGCTGGTACCCACGTCTTCTACCAGGCAGGGCACTGGGAACTGGCACCTGGGTCTCCTGCCAGGCAGGGTTGGATGCTGGGCCCTGGGGGTGGTGCCTGGGTCTCTGGCCCCTCTTCCTGCATCAGATGCCTGTCAGAGTCTGTCTCCTTCCCCTCACTCATGCCCCGCATCCTGGCTTCTCCCTGCAGCTTGTAACTATGTCTGCCATGTGTCCTGCGCTGAGGGAACAGCCGTCTGCCCCACACCTCCCGAACAGCTGCGGAAAACCATGGGGGTCAACCCCATTACTGGGACAGGCACAGCATTTGAGGGATATCTGTCGGTAAGTCCCCCCACCCTCCGCGGGTGCCCTGTGTCAGCCTGGCTTTGGTCTGATGTGGCATGGCAGAGAGGATTCTGCAAGCACCCTTCTCCCGATCTTCTCCGCTGTGGTGAATATGGTTAAAGCAGGGTCACAGAAGTCAGGACTCCTGGGTTCTGTCCCTGGCTCTAGGAAGGAAGTGGGCTCTAGTGGGTTAGCAGAAGGGGGCTGGGAGCCGGGACTCCTGGGTTCTATCCCCAGCTATGCCACTGATGTGCTGTGTAACTTTGTGGCGAATGGGGCTGTAACCGTCTCCCATCCCTGTCTACGTAGGTGCCGAAGCCAGCGGGGGTGAAGAAGGGCTGGCAGAGGGCATTCGCCTTAGTCAGCGACTTCAAGCTCTTTCTTTATGACGTGCCAGAAGGCCGGGGCTCCCTGTGCGGCGTTAACGTCATGCAGGTCGTGGATATGAGGTAGGGAGGGGCAGAGAAAGGGACCCATGAAGTGTCTTATCGGTCAGACCCCTGAGCACACCTAGCCTTGCATCCATCTCTGTCATTGCAGATCAGCCCCTGGGCCCAGGCAGCCCGGTATCCCCCCTCCTGCCACCCTGGCTCATACCCCTGGGCCCATCCCACCCAGTATCCCCCCTCCTCCCACCCTGGCTCGGACCCCTGGGGCCATCCCGCCCTGTAGTCTTCACCCTGGCTCAGATCTCTGGGCCCAGCCAGCCTGGTATTCCCCCTCCTGTCATCCTGGGTCAGACCCCTGGGCCCATCCCACCTGGTATCCCCCACCCTGCCACCCTGGCTCAGACCCCTGGGGCCATCCCCCCAGGTAGTCTTCACCCCTCCCCCACTACCTCAGACCACTGGGCCCATCCAGCCCAGTATCCCCCGCTCCTGCCACAGACCCCGGGGCCCATCCAGCCCGGTATCCCTTCCTTCTTTGCCTTCCCGGATCAGACTAGTGGGCCCAACTAGCCTGGTGTCCCCCCAGCCTCTGCTGCCCCAGATCAGACCATTGAGCCCACAGGACTGAGTGCAAGGCAAGAGCGCCCCCTGCTGAACCACCCTTCCTGCAGCATAACAACACTGGTGCCCTAATGGGTTTACCACCCCTCCAGATATGGATCACTGCTGGGTGAGTCGTCGAGTTGTCTGTTTTCTCCCCAGACCTCGTGTAGGTTGTGATCCTGGTGTCTGGGAAAGAAACTTCCGCTCCCTTCAGGTTTCCAATTGTATGAGCTTTATTCACTAAACCAAATAATAAAGCAAAAAGCATGACGTAAATAATCCATATGAATGGCTTGATACCAAATCAACTGACGTATCAGATTGATTAAACCATATGCATAGAAAATAAAGCCAGAAGAGACCAATGTGATCATCGAGTCTGACCTCCTGTGTCACCCAGGCCATAGGCCAGCCCTGAATTAATTCCTGTTTGAACTAGAGCAGACCTGTTAGAAACACACCCAACCTTCATTTAAACGTTCTCCGGGATGGAGAATCCATCCCATCTGTAGATCAAGTGTCCCAAGAGTTAATTCCCCTCACTGGTAAACATTTGCACCTCATTTCTAGTCTGAATTTATCTCGCTTCAACTTTTAGCCAGTGGCTCTTGTTCCACCTTTGTCTGCTAAACTGAAGAGCCCCATGTTATACAGACTGTGATCAACTCATCCCTCAGCCTTCTCTTCGTTAAGCTAAACAGCTTGAGCTCCTGGAGTCTCTCACTGCAAGGCAGGTTTTCCAACCCTTTAATCCTTCTTGTGGCTCTTCTCTGACCCCCCTCCAATTTATCCACATCCTGCTTGAATTGTGGGCCCCAGCCCTGGGCCCAGTACTCCAGCAGTGGTCGCACCAGGGCCAAATACAGATGTAACTGAACCTCCCTATTCCAAGTCAAGATTTCTAGTTGTTTTAGGTATTTCAAATAAACCAACAATTCTGGAGAGGCACCACCTTGTACGTGGGAAGAGCAGCAGTCTTATTTAGCTCTCAGCCCCTAAGTGACTGGGCTTTACCAGGTCCAGTGCCACTTGACACACATATATTCTGGTTGAATGGCTGATACTGGGAGGGTCAGATCAGTTCTGGTTGAAGCTAAAGCTGAGGCTACACTCTGATGCCAATGAAGGCAGTGTGCCCAAATCATGGGGGTAGCAATGTCTTCCCCTGGCAGGGGTTACATAGAAATGTCAGGCTGGAATGGATCTCGAGAGATCATCAAGCCCAGCCCCCCTGCGCTGAGGCAGGACCAAGTAAACCCAGAGTATCCCCGACGGATGTTGTTCAACCTGTTCTTAAAACCCTCCAGTGATGGGGATTCCTCCATCTCCCCGGTATCCTGTTCCAGTGCTTAACCATCCCGGAAGTTTTTCCTAATATCTCACCTAAATCTCCCTTGCTGCAAACCAAGACGAATGCTCCTTGTCCCACCCTCAGTGGACACCGAGAACAACTGATCCACCATCCTTCTTGTAACAACCTTCTCCCTATTGAAGGTTGTTATCAGATCGCCCCTCAGCCTTCTCTTCCCTAGACTGAACATGCCCAGTGGGTCAGGCTTTCTAAACCTCGGATCGTTTTTGTTGCTCTCCTCCGGACTCTCTCCAGTTTGTCCACCTCTTTCCTACAGTGCAGGGCCCAGCCTGGACACAACACCCCAGCTGAGGCCTCGCCCTTGCTGAGCAGAGCAGGACAGTGACCTCCTGTGTGTAACTATCATAGGGTGGCTGGTCCCTTTAATGGGTGTTGGCCCTGTTTAGGGCTTCTTTAAGGGGAATGAGTCCCTCTCAGCCAACTTGTGAGCAATTAGCTGCCTAGGTGGCTGGCTGGCAGCTCATTGACTAATGAGCACCTGGCTGTGCTAAAAGGCCAGCAGAGCTCAGTTGGAGGGAGTGCTCTTAGGGGCATGGTGCTGCTAAGGAGAGGCTTCCCCACAGACGCTAGCAGGGGAGGACATCTGCTGGCTCACCTGAAAGCGTCATTTATCTGGATTACAAATTGGATCCGCTTGAAAATTTCCGCATGAAATGCTTGTCCAACTGAAAATGCTGACACCTCCCAGGGCGGGGAGCATGTTGATTTAGACACAGTCTCATTGCAGGGGGTGTGGGAACGTTCCATTTTGACATTTTTGGAATCGAACATTTCAACCTTGAGTTTTGAAATGACTTTTTGTTTAAAAATCACTTTCTAAAAAATATATCCATACAAGAAATCACAATCCAATTTAAACATTTTGAGTTCTTTAAACTACATTTTCTGAAGATTATTTATTTTGTTGAAAATTTTATTTTGTGGAAAACTTCATAGTTTGTTGTTTTCCCCCCAGTTTTGCATTGAAAAAAATTTGAAATGATGGGAACAGAAATTCCAGGTCCTGTCCAGCTCTATTATTAATACAGCTCCTCAGCCGTGTAATAGAGGCACATATGATCTTTTAGACAAAGAGGTGGAGTTGTTTTAGGTGTTTGAGAAATTAATTTGTAGGTGCTGTTCTCAGCTTCTGTGGGTTCTAGACCCCACCCCGCCCACACTCCCTATCAGTCACCTGCTCTCTCTTTTTTTGTTCTTGATGTCCCTCTTCTGCCGTTAATGGGGAATAGGAGCAGAGGAAAATACAGAGAGGGTGGGGAGGTCCTGGGCAGAAGGTTTTATAATCAACAGAGCATGCTTCCTTCCTCGACATTCTTCCACTTTCCGCAAATAGCAGCAGTACCCAGTGGCAAAGCGTGTGCCTCGTTCACACTGAGGATAAAAGCCTACTAGTGCTACCAGTTACTTTAATTTGGCGGAGAAAGGCAAAAGAACCACCAATGGCTGAAAGTTAAAGACAAATGAATTAGAAATAAGTTACTATTTTTTTCACAGTGTGGGTGACTAACCTTTGGAACAAACTCCTAAGGGGGATGGTGGATTCTCCCCCTCTGAATGTCTTCAGATCAAGCCTGGCTGCCTTCGTGGAAGAGATCCACAAGCGCCTGGACTCCATAGAGGGGTAGCTGGGTGACATTCTCTGGCTTGTGCCGTACAGGAGGTCAGACTAGATGATTGAATGCTCCCTTCTGGCCTTAAAATCTGTGACTGTAGTGAGCAAATCTACATCCCTCTCCTTTCCCAGGCTTACAGTTATTCTGTGGGGCACAGTAGCTGACACTGGGGTGTTGTAAGGTGCAGCTGGGGAGGCTGTGCTGGTTGGTGCTGATGCCTCTCGTCTTCTATTTAAAGGGACGAACAGTTCTCGGTGACTTCGGTTCTGGCCTCAGACGTCATCCACGCCAGCAACAAGGATGTGCCCTGCATATTCCGGGTAAGTCCTGGGTGTCAGGACATTTACAATATTGGGTGTGCCTCAGGGCCAGAGCAGCAGCCGTAATCGCGGCACTCCAGCCCGGATCACATGACTAAGTCTGGCAAGTTCCATCTCAGCCGTCTTGTGGGTCAGATACTTATTGCAGTGGGAAGTGCTACTCGGTTACATCACCGCTGCAGAGTTGGCATTATTGCATTTACACCAAGAGTAACTGACATCAGACTCCAGTCCTGATGTCACTGCAGTCAGGGCTTGATCCCGGACTGACTCGGGGGAGCTGAGATCCGAATCCGGCCCTGGCCCCATTGTAGTCAGGGCTTGATCCCGGATTGACCCCGGGGGGAGCTGAGATCCGAATCCGGCCCTGGCCCCATTGTAGTCAGGGCTTGATCCCAGATTGCCCCGGGGGATCTGAGATCCGAATCCGGCCCTGGCCCCATTGTAGTCAGGGCTTGATCCTGGATTGACCCGGGGGAGCTGAGATCCGAATCCGGCCCTGGCCCCATTGTAGTCAGGGCTTGATCCTGGATTCCCCCAGGGGAGCTGAGGTCCGAATCTGGCCCTGAACCCACTGCAGTGGGGGGGTGACTCCAGATAGACCTCGTGTGAGCTGAGCTCTGAATCCAGCACTAAACATCTGCATCCTTCAGAATAACACTAAACTGCCCTCCCTGCTCCCCATAGATTACAGCCTCCCAGTTGGCCGCGCCCCCCAGCACCAGCTCCCTGCTGCTCCTTGCTGACAGTGAGGCCGAGATGAAGCAGTGGGTGCAGGTGCTGGTGGAGCTGCACCGGATCCTGCAAGAGAACCGGCACCATGACCGCTCCGTCTATATCCTCAAGGAAGCCTATGACAACGGCCTGCCGCTCATATCACAGGCCCTCTCCGCTGCTATCATTGGTGAGCTGGCATGGGAGGCAAGGACAGACCACCCAGGGAGGATAGTGGAGTCTGCTGGGTGAGGGGAGGGGTTGGGAGCCAGGACTCCTGGGTTCTATTCCAGGTCTGGGAGGGGAAGTGGGGTCTAGTAGGTTAGAGCAGGCGGTGACGGGGGGTCAGGACTCATGGATTCTATTTCCTGATGTGTCACTGACTTCTATAACTTCGGGCAAGACCCTGCGCCTGCCTTTGCTTCAGTTTCCCCCTTTGTAAAATGGGGAATAATAAAATCCCCCAGCTTCCCAGGGGTGTCGTGGAGCGGCGTCTGACAGCAGTCAGGGCCCATAGGGAGGAGCCAGCCAGTCTGTGCAGCCGAGCCTATTCCACATCCAGGCGGCCTCACTCTGACACTTGCCACTGTCCTGCTTGCAGACCGGGAGCGGATCGCGCTGGGAACTGAAGAGGGGCTGTTTGTGATTCACCTGCACACCAATGGTAAGAGCTGTCACGGGATGAGTTTGCAGACATATGGGGAGGGGGGTTGGAATGACACACACTTGCAGCTGGGCTGGTCCATGGACCAGCACGGGGAAGAGTTGGGTGGCCTAACTTGGCACCAGTTAAGACTCTGGATCAGATTCTGATCTCGGTTACACCTTGGTGTAAATCTGGAGCTGCCCCAGAGAAATCCTTGAGGCAGACTGGATTTTAGTTATACTACTTGTTATATATAAATGGCTAATAAATCTGGTGTAGCTGCACTTAGGTCAGTGGATTTAGGAGCACATTTTATTGTTGGTTACAAACTGGAGTAAGTCAGGAGTAAGTCCATTAAGTCATTCTGATCTGTTATGAACAGGAGGGTACATCTTGGGTATGAGACACATTCTGTTAAATCTGGTGTAAATCTGGAGTAACTTCGTTAAATGAATTGAGTTTAGGGACCATGTTCTGATTTCAGTGACCTACGGTTTAAGTCTGGAGCAGTTCATTTTGAGATAATTAAAACAGAGCTGGTCTCTGTTACACATTGGTATAAATCAGGAGTGACTCCATTGACTTCACTGGGCTCAGAACTGCATTCTGGCCATGGTTACACGCTGTCTGAAGTAGCTGCAGTCAAGTTGTTGAGCCATATTCCAGCCTTGGTCACAAACCTGGTGTAAATCTGGAGTAGCTCCACTGAAATCACTGGGGTGTATTCTGATTTCAGTAACACACTGGAGTAAAGCTGGAGTAATTCATTCTAGGTAATTAAGCCAGATGCTGTTTTGACCTTAAATGCTGGTGTAAATCAAGATTAATTCCACAGAAGTCAGTCATATGCTGACTTCATTTGGAGCCATCGGGTCACACCCTGACATTATACATAAATCCAATACAAGTCCACCTAGCCAAGTTCTGGTCTCTGTTTGCTCATGGAGTCACTCCAGATTTACAGCAGTTTGTAACAACAGAAGTCCACCGAGCCAGATTCTGATATAGGTTACAAACCACTGCAAAGGCAGAGTAGTAGCTCATTTTGTTAATCAGGGTCACTCTGGGTTTACACCTGTTTGTAACTCTTCCGAGCCAGAGTCTAATATCGGTTACAAACCAGCGTGACTCCTTGAGCTACTCTGGATTTAATCAGGGGTTGCTCCAGGTGAGTAGCTGAGCTAAGTATTTCCCTTCCCAGTGCAGTCTCCATAGCACTCTGGCAATGCAGCCCCCTGTGACTGTACATCTCTGACTCTCATCCTTTGTCTGTCTCGGTTTGCAGAGGTGCTCCAGCTGGGCGACTGCCGGCGGGTCCAGCTGCTCCTGATCTCCCCCAAGGCCCAGGTGCTCTCGGTCCTGTGCGGCAAGAACCACAGCGTGCGCCTCTTCTCCTGGGTCGAGCTGGAGACGCCAGAGTCCCCGGGGACCAAGATCGCCGAGACCAAGAACTGCCAGACCATGGTGTCGGGGCTGATCTGCCGGGGAACCACCTCTGTGCTGTGTGTGGCCTCCAAGCGCCAGGTGCTTTGCTACCAGCTCACCCCCTCCCGGCCCCACTCCCGGCGCATCAAGGAGATCCAGGCCCAGGGCTATGTGCAGTGCTTGGACATCATGGGCGACCGGCTCTGCATAGGCTACCCCTCGGGCTTCTCCCTCTACCCCCTGCTGAACGAGGGGGCGCCCATCCACCTGCCCCACCCCGAGGACCCCCGTGGAGTGGCCGTGGCCCAGATGGAGGCCCTGCGGGCCGTGGAGGTCAGCCTCAGTGAGCTGATCCTGTGCTTCAGTGGGCTGGGGCTCTACGTGGATGGGCAGGGCCGGAGGACCCGGCAGCAGGAGCTGATGTGGCCGGCGACCCCCCTGAGCTGCTGTGAGTGGCGGGTCTGTGGGGTCAAGGGAGGTTGGGGGCAGGCAAGGGCAGATGGGGGCGGTTCCTGCTCTCAGAAATGCTGCATGCATGGAGCAGAGGAGAGCTCTGTTCTCTCCAGCAGGGGGCAGCAAATGCCCCATCACCAGAACCAGCTGCGCCAGATCACACCCAAGGCCATCTAGCCTGGTAGCTTCCCCCTCCACTCGCCTGCCACCCTGGATCACACCTGTGGGACCCTCTAGACTAGTATCGCCACAGACCCACTGGATCACACCCGTATCTAGCCCAGTATCACCGCACCACGACCTCTCTGCTGCCCCGAATCAGACCTACGTTCTAGCTCAGTATCCTGTCTTTGACAGGCCAACACCAGCTGCCCTCTAGTGGGCACCCAAGGGAACCAACAGCTGTACTGGCTGGGATTTGCACACGGGTTTAAAATGCCTTTGGTCTCTCAACTCCTAGGCTACAGTGCCCCCTACCTGAGTGTGTTCAGTGAGAACGCCCTGGATGTGTTTGATGTGCGGAAGGCTGAATGGATACAGACAGTCCCTCTGAAGAAGGTGAGGCTTTGGGGGGGAAACAAGCCCCGGGACCCAGGATTTAGCCAAGTCTGGGGGTGAATGTGGGGCGGGTAGGCCAATAAAGCGCAGCAAAGCTTTTATTGGTTTGTTCTTATTTTAATGGCCCATTTAATGGGGCTGGGAGCCAGGACTCCTGGGTTCCATTCACAGCTCTGGGAGAGGAGCAGCTTCTAATGGTTAGAGCAGCGAGGGCCTGGCAGTCAGGGCTCCTGGTTTATATTTCCAGTGATGAGAGAGGAATGGGGTCTAGTGATTGGAAAAGGGTTGTGCTGGGAGCCTGGACACCTGGGTTCTCTTTTCGGCTCCGCCACCATCTCACTGTTTGAGATCTCACAGCGTAGGGGGTTGCGATGACCTGCCCCTGCAGCAGCTCCTTGGGAACAGCAGCCTTCTGGGAATGACTCTTATTCTCTTACTCAGGTGCGGTCCCTGAACTGCGAGGGCTCCCTCTGCACCTACGGCAGCGAGAAGGTGCGCCTGACCTATCTCAGGAACAAGTCTGCAGGTAACCATCCACCCCGTCCTGCTCCAGGCCGCGCAGTCAGAACACTGGCGGGGGGGCTCAGCCCCGATCTCATTTACACTGACCGCAGTGTGGACTAGAGCCATTGAAGTCAATGGAGTTACCTGGATTGATACCAGCGTAGCAGCTACAGGCACTGGCTGCTGTCAGAGATGTGGGCTCATGAGTCAGTTCTGGTTCTGGCAGTGCACCTGGACTAATAATCGTACTGCCAGCTCGAACTCCATGCAGCAAATACTAGTAACATTATGGTAGCGGTATTACGGCAGCTCCTAGAGGCCTCATTAGGATCCTGTGTACATTATTAAGAGTATTACGGTAGCACCTAGAGCAGTGGTCGCCAAACTTTTTAAGTTGTGCTCCCCCTTACCCCAAATATAATCTCCCCCACCTTCCCGGGAACCGCAGTCAGGGACTGAGGCAAGAACGGGAGCTGGGGGCAGAGTGGGACTGGGTGGCGCTCCCTCATTGCGCTGGCCCGGGCCCGCTGCACACCCTCCCAAATGTTCCTCTGCACTCTCCTAGCGGGGTGTGCCCCACAGTTTGGGGACCACTGATCTAGAGGCACCAAAGAGAGATGAGGGCCCCCATTATGTGCTCTCCATTATTAGTAGCTTTATGGTAGAGCCTAGTGGTCCAAGCTGAGATTGGGGTCCCATTGCTAATATTACAATAGTGCCTCATGGCACTGCCCAAGATTGTGCCAAGCGCTGCACAGTGAGAGACAGTCCCTGTCCGGAAGGGCTCACAGTCTGAATGGACATAGCTGGGACGGGAAACAGAGGCGCACAGGGTGGAAGGGGTTTGCCCCAGGTCAATGGCAGAGTCGGGAATAGAACCCAGGACTCCTAACTCCCGCTCCAGTGCCGCAAACCACTAGCCCAGGAGACACAGGCACCTAGTGGCTGAATGGTGTAACTGCAAGTAGACCCATCTTCGCAACCTCATTCCGCCCCTCTGCTCCAGACCAGGATGAATTCAGTGTTCCCGAGACCACAGACAACACCCGGCGGCAGCTGGTGAGGACCAAGAACAAGCGGAAATTCTCCTTCCGTATATCAGCAGAGGAGCGGCAGCAGCAGAGGAGGTGAGGCCAGGGCTGGGGGGAGGTGTGTGTGTCCTGCACTACCATCCTGTCCTCACCCGGAAGCCTGGAGGGCAACAGAGCCTTGTCATTCCATCCTAACTAGCATGGTGCACATGCTGTCTGTAGTCATGGGAATACTGTACGGATCACAGTCGTGCCTAGAGCCCCGAGCCCAGGTGAGGGTCCCACTGTGGTGTTAGTACTATTACAGTAGTACCTCCAGGCCTACAACTCATCCTGCCTGGCACAATGCAGACAGTCCCTGCCCTGAAGGGCTCACAGGCTGAGCAGACAAGTAGATGGTTCTCACCATGTTACGGGGTGGGGGAAACTGAGGCACAGGAAGGGAACAGTGACTTGGGCAAGGTCACATGGGAAGTCAGTGGCAGAGCCAGGAACTGAAGTGAGGTCCTCTGAACCCATGGCCGGCACCTTACGTCCAGTGGCAGAGCTAATGGGGGGCGGGGGGAGTGACTGCCATCAGGTGTATGTGTGGTGCCTTTCCGAGCACGTTACGCAGGTGACAAACGGAGACGTACAACATGAATGTTCACACGGCTGGAGAGCCTGCTCCACACTTGCCCTGCAGTGGTGGCTCCTGTCCAGCCAGGCTGGGCCCAGCTCCTCACGCTGGGTGCTGCAATCTGGGGCACTGAATCCTGTGTCTGTGTGTGTTCCCCCACTGTGTCTGTCTGTCTAAGCATGCTCCCCCCCCCCCCCATGTCTGTCTGTCTAAGCATGCCCCTCTGCTGGTGTTGCAGAGCCCACGGTCAGGGCACGCTCCAGCTATTCACTGCTCCTCTCTGTTCCCCCTGCAGGGAGATGATGCGAGACCCCAGTGTGAGGTCAAAACTCATTTCCGGCCCAACCAACTTCAACCACCTGGTGCACGTGGGGCCGGGTGATGGGCAGCACCGGCTGCAGGACCTGCCCACAGTAAGCACAGGGGGCGACCTGACCAGTGAGATGCTGCCCAGGGCCGGGGGGGGGGGGCTGCAACCACTGCTGGGTTTGCAGAGAGGGCAGGATCTTCTGCAGGGTGGTGTTTACCAAAAGCTAGCCCTCATGATCGCAAGAGACCCTACAATAACAAGCCAGCCTGGGTGAGCTGGAACAACCCTACAATAACAAACTTGCCCCTACAGGGAGCCTTTGGTGACCCTACAGTGACAGACTGTCTCTGGTGGGCCTTTGGCGACACGATGTAACAAGCCACCCTTGGCTTGGCGGTGTCACCCTTTGAAGGGACATAAGCAAACAGTGAGAGTGGGGGAGGGGTTACCTGGTGAGCACCCCCTGCCTGTGCTCTCCTGCAGATGTCCCCACGCTGAGCTGGGCTCCCCCCGCCTCTGTGCTTCCCCTTTCCGGGCTGCCAGCCCTACGCTGATTGTGTCTCGCAGGCACAGGAAGAGAAAAGACGGGAGTCACAGGCCAAGCTACGTCGGCGCAGCTTCCCCAAGACCCGGCCCCCATCGTCCTCGGGCAGCGACACCGCCCTGGGGGACTCTGCATCTGGTAAAGGAATCCCACGACTGGAGGGGAAGTGAATCAGGGAGGGAGACACCCCTCAGGTCCTGTCTGGCCCAGAGTGGAATTACTCCCCCAGGGAACAGCCAGTCCTGTGAGATTAGCTGTGCTTCTCTGTTCTCACCCCTGGGGATCACTGCCTCCCCATGCACCCCAAATCCCTGAGGCCACATGAAAGGACCCAGAATTCCAATGGGACCCTGAGCCCGTTAGAACAGGACAAGGATTCCTAGTGGTTAGGGTGGGAGACATGGGAACTAGGACTCCTGGGTTCTATTCCCAGCTCTGGGAGGGGAGTAGGGTCTAGTGGTTCTAGCAGGGTAGGGGGCTGGGAGTCAGGACTCCTCGGTTCTATCCCTGGCTGTGCTCAGGATTTAGGACCCAAGCTGGTGGTGGTCCCAGATTCCCTGTGCAGTAGCTGGGAAGGTTTGCACCAGCCAGTGACTACAGCTCTCTGTCCCCTTGCAGCGAAGCATAAATCGGGCAGCTCCATCTCTGATGACTCCTTCACCTCCCCACAGGGCCTGTTCACAGGCACTGACATGCTGACGGAGGTAAGAGACCCCAAGCAGCCAGACCTGGCCGAGGAGGGACAGGCCTCCCTTGCCAAAACCCTCAGCGTCACCCCACTGAGAGGTGAGGGGCTGCAGCACCCTAATACTTCAAGCTATTTTTCAAGAGACAGCCTGGTTTGGTGGTGAGGGTCCTGGGCTGCAAGTCAGGACTCCTGGGTCTGCCCCTGACCTGCTGTTTGGGCAAGTTCCTTCCTTTCTCGGTGCCTCGGTTCCCCTCACCCTGTGCAGCATGGTGGGGCCCTAATCTCATTGTGGGCCTCTAGGCACTACTACTGTAGCACTGGTCCAAGTAAACGCAGCGCATCCCTGACAGGTGTTTGTCCAACCCATTCTCAAAAACACCAGCTGAGGCCTGACCAGTGCTGAGTAAAGCCAGACAGTTATCTCCTATGTCTTACATATGGAACTCCCATAAATACACCCCAGAATATTAGCCTTTTGCACAGTTGAATCACATTCAAGTTGCGATCCATGCTCACCCACGATCCTTTCCAGCAGCTCGACTGTCTAGCCAGTCATTCCCCATTTTATAGTTCTGCATTTGATTTTTCTTCCTGAGTGTAATACTTTACACTTTTGTCTTATTTTCATCTTGTTGATTTTAGCCCAGTTCTCCAATTTATCAAGGTTGTTTTGAATTCTAATCCTGTCCTCCAAAGTGCTCGCACCCCCCACAGCTTGGTGTCATAAGCAAACTCTCTATTCCATTATCCAAGTCATTAATGAAAATAATGAATAGTACCATGCCCAAGCCAGGCAGACCCCCGCGGGATCCCACTAAATGCATCCCCCCAGTTTAACAGTGAACTGTAGCTAACTACTCTTTTGAGTTCAGGTTTTCATCCAGTATTACAGTAATTCCATCTAGACTCCATTTCCTTAGTTTGCTTTTGAGAACGTCATATGGGACTGGGTCAAAAATCAAGATAAATCCCATCTTCTGCTTTCCCCTAGCTGCTAGGTCAGTCACCTTGTCAGGGAAGGAAATTGGTTTGGTTTGGCATGATTTGTTCTTGACTAATCCTCTAGGTGCTTACAAATTGATTGTTTACTAATTTGTTCCAATATCTTTCCAGGTATCAAAATTAGCCCGACTGGTCTGTAACTCCCTGTGTCCTCTTTTTCAAAATAGGGACTTTGTTTGCCCTTCTCCAGTTCTCTGTGAGCTCACCCGTCCTCCATGAAGTCTCAAAGATAACTGCTAACGGTTCCAAGATTGCTTTTGCTTAGTTCCTTAAGCATCCAAGGGTGAATTTCATCAGGCCCTGCTGACTTGAATAAATCGAACTTAGCTAAATATTCTTTAACCTGTTCTTTCCCTATTTTGGCCTGTGTTCCTTTCCCCTTGTTGTTAATAGTAGTTGTGTTGAGTATCTGGTCACCAGGAACATTTTTAATGATGAAGCAAACAATAACTAACTGTCTTGGGGTCCTGATTTTGATTGAGGCCTCTGGGTGTTACTGTAACCCACATGGTAATAATCACAGGCTGCCCTGCAGTGCCAGCTCCTTGCTTTTGGCGGTCCCCCTCCACCCTACCCTTTTAACTCTTCTCTCATTCCTTGCAGATCTCGGATCAGACCCGCAGCCTCCACCTCTCCTTCAGCTCCAGCCACGGGAGCTCCAGTTCTTAAGGTGGCAGGACCGATGCCACAAACCAGACCCTCTTGCACATGATAATCTGTGTATTTTAGCCGGAGATGCCACCGCAAGGCGCTGTAACGTTGCTGCTGTCACTGCTGTCAGTAGAACATTCCCCTCGCTGAGGTTGTGCTCTGCAACCGGGGAATTTGTCCATCCTGTATTGAAATACATAAATGTTGGTACCAAAATATCTCCACCTATCTCCCTGCATCACCCAGACACACCACTTACTGTCTCTGAGACACCCCGTAGAGAGAGGAAGCTGCAATCCGCTAAGGGTTAAAAGTGACGATAGATCGCTTTCGCAAGGGAGAATAGCGCCTCCTTGCTTGCATTCCGTTCTTTGCCTCTGGATAGCCCAGTGGGATGATGCCCCAAGTGGTGAAAAGCGTGAAAGGGAGCAGGTGAAAGTGCCCCCTAACTTACCTGGGGAGTTGGAGCTGCACCGCCTGAAGAGCACACCCTGCTGGCCACGGGTAGTACTATCGCAGTACCTGGAACCACTAGAGCAGAAAGCATCAAAGATCATGGTGGGGGTGTTGCTTCTCCCAGAAATCCCCAAATCCTAGCAGCCATCTGAATCAGGGACGGATGCTGCTTTTTTTAAACTGCTGTTTAACACAAAGGAGTCCAGCTTGGGCCAGACTCTGATCTCAGTTATCATCTGTATCGATCCATTGGAGTAAATCTGGTTTCACAGGGCTCTGTCTGGATCATCTTGTGCCATTGTATATCCAGGGTTCTTTTTGAACTACTCAGGGATTGGGTTGCTTTGCTGAATCATCACGACATTGTTTAAGCCTGCTTGTATTTCCTTAAACCTGTCATAGTTCTGCAAGAACCAAAGATGCTGAAACCAAAGATTATCGATTTCCATGCAAAGGAGCGAGAGAGAATCCTTCCAGGAATTCAAATTTTGGGGGACATTTATTTAAAAGTACAGGGTGGGTCAAAGACCGGATTTATTTAGGAAGCAAATGTGTAAATACTTGGACAACTGCACCATTAAATGCTGTGCAAAGGTTTGCAGTCTGCTCTGTTCTATACAGCAAGGGAGGATGTGCTGTAAGGAAGAGGGACAGAGGCAACTGATAATCTTTGATATAAGGATCATGGCTTGTGGGTGCATTTAAGGGGGTGTGATAATAGCGTGATTAAGCTTTGGAACAGTTGTCCAAGAATTGTGGACTGATTTTCCATTGCTGGCAGTTTTTACATCAGACAGGAAGACAAATGAGATGACATTAGTGGGCTCTTCTAGCTTTCAACGCTGTGACAATTACGTTTTGCCCATCTACATTACAAAGGCAGCATTAAAACTTGCTCGTGCCTCGGCTGTATTAGTGCAAGGTTTGGCTCAACTGTATTATGAACAGATGAAAAACCCATGGCCCCCTGTTGTCAGTTATGGGTTTGCTGCAGTTGCAGAAGCCAAATGTGGGGTCCAAGCATCCGTTGCAGGCCCAGGGCTGCTGTAAGTGACCCTGCGTTTGCCAGCAGGCGTGATGGGATTTTATTTTAAATAGGTTACCCAAGTGCAAGTTCCAGCAAAGAGGGCCATGGTGCCTGAGCAGAAAAACAGCCTGGGAATCAGTGGGTGCCTGGCTGGCAGTGACCCGGGTGGGGGGGGCGAGGGGATGCGTGCTCTCTCAGTACAGGAGCTGCGGAAAAAACAGTGACCAGAAGCAAGTTGGGAAAATTCCCCCTCTGCGAGGGTGGGTCGCAGAACTGCCTCCTCTGTGCAGGGGCTAGTTTAAGGCCAGGCCCTGGGGAGACGCCCCCCTAGTGGTGCTTCCAACCGTAACACCTGCAGCTGAAAAAGCTGTCCAGCGCATGAGCCGTGGGACCAAGCACCTTTTAACCATAGTGAGAGTCTCCTATTGGTCATGGCTGTAACCAATGGGGAGGCAGGAGCTGGGAACAAACCCGGAAGTAGCCTCTGTGCGACAGCATCTGGAGCAAAGGAGGAGAGTGAGCTGGAGCAGCAGGCGGGTCTGAGCGCACAGGGGCTTTTGCTGCTGGGGAGTCCCGGGCACAGCTCCGATGCCTTCGCCTTTCTCTCCTCCCAGCTGGGGCCCTCTAAGAGACTAGACTCTGTCTCTCTTGAGACTCAACACTCTCTTTTGTGTGTCTCTCTTTCAGTCCTGCTGTGGCTAAGAGCCTAGGCTCTGTGTGTGTTACTGTGGCTAAGAGACTAGACACTGTCTACCTCTTTCTGGCTTGCTGTGGCTAACAGCCTAGACATGCTCGCTCTCTGTGTGTGTGCATCTCTTGCTTGCTTGTTTTGGCTAAGAGACTAGACTCTCTCTTGGGGGTGTGTGTGTATGTCTCATCTCTAAGAGACTAGCCACTCTGTGTGGGTGCGTGTCTCTCTCTAAGAGACTCGTCTGTAAAGTGTCTCTGTGTCTCCTTAAAAGAGAATAGACTCTTTGTTTCTGATTTAAACACAGATCATTTAAAATTAATTTATTCCTACACCCTTTATATACAACAAGAAAGACTGCAGCACATACAGGAAGAATGCAAATAGCCACACAATCACAGGCCCCCATCTGCTTTTTACTGAGAAGCTGTACAGAATAAATACAGTAGAACCACAAGTTTGTGCATCTCTGCTTGCGAGTGTACCTGGTTGGTGGGGTGTCCTTATTGCTGATGTATGTATAAACTAAAATTCTAAGCGCATATGTACAAGCAAAAGCTAAAGCTTCCACTGCTCTGTTGCCTGTCAGTCCAGCTTCCTGGCACCCAGTTTCATAGGTCCCTTTGCCACCTTCCTGTCCGCCCGTTTAGCTTCCATCTCCTTCTTCCGCTCCTCTCGCTTCTTGCGTGCTAATTCTGCCCTGCTGAGACCTACGGAGACACAATAATTCCCAGCTAGTACAAACGGCTGGATGGAACAATCATGTGCAACTTTGCTTCTTCAGCAACTCACCCTGGTCAGAGTCCACAGATTCCCAGTTTTCCTCTGTACCCCAGTCGCCAATGGCATCCATGCTTCTCTGAAGTTAGACACAGAATTTGAATTCAGGGGACTTCTTCACAGTTATGCACTACACTGGGGGAGGCACTCAGTACACATTTATCTTTCTACACAGGAAGAGAAGGGAAGTAGCTAATCCCTGAACTGAGTGGGTACCCCACCCTGCCTTCCCCTGGAGCTTCAGTTAAACAGAGAGTGGGGTGATAACACTAGCCCTTCCCAGGCCTTTTGGGGATTTGTAGACCACCACCCCCCCCCCCCCCCGCAACAAAAAACAAAACATACAATGTCACCCAGGGAGTCAGTGGCAGAGCTGGGAATTGACACACACACACACACACACACACACACACACCCCATCCTTGATCATGAGACATGGAGAAACTTACCTGGGTCTCTGTTGTTGACTTCTGAGTAGGGATTATGGAGAAGAAAGGATCTGGTTTCTCCACACTGGATGAGCTGTCCCAGTCATATTCGCTGGCCAGTTTGGTTCCTTCTGGTTGGGCCAAGGGAGCTTGCTGTGAGGGGGTCAGTTTCTGCACTGTCCCAGAACCAAAATCCTCCTCCCAGCTGTCCTCTGCCACGGAGCTTTGTCCCTGAGTGCCCCACTTCTTGTGACTCCAAGTAGATCCAACCTCCCAACCAGAGCTGGTCCAGTCTGATTCCTGTTTCTTGGAGGAGCTGCTGGTCTGTTAATGATAAGGGGGACGGGGGCAGATTGATCAGAGCAACCGGAAGAGGACAAATGAGCTACGAGACAGGAACTGAAGGGGCTTCTGGACTAGTCATATCCTACCTGCAAGATTTAGAAAAGGTGACTTTGAGCGCCCAGGCTCAACAGATAAAGGCCAGGAATGGGAAAAGACCTGCCCATCACCCTAGCCACACTGTCTTTCGTACTAGTAGGCACTTGAACAATGATTATTCCCATCTGAGGGCCGTACGGTGACTAAGGCAAGAAAGGCTGACAGTCTTAATTTAAAGACCACGATCAAATCGCCTTTTAACCTTCTCTGGAATAAACTAAACAGGCTGAGCTTCTCAAGTCTCTCCCTATAAGGGGGATTTTCCAGACACAAAATCCTTCTTATAGCTCTCTGCTTAGCTTTTCCAATTTGACAACATCCTTTTTGAAGTGTAGACACCATAACCAGACACAGTATCCAGTAATGTTGTCACCACTACCATAAACAGAGGTGATGACCCTTCCTTTACTCCTACTCGATATTCCCCTGCTTATACGTCCAAGATTGTTTGCGCCCTTTCAGCTCTAGCATTGCCCTGGGAGCGCTTGGTTATTTATCATGATGTTCAAGTTCTTTTTGGTGTCACTGTAGTCCAGGATACAGTTCCCTTGCCCCATTACAGTGATCTACATTTTTTGTTCCTAGATGTAATGATCCTTAGTTCTTATACAGCACTTTTCATCAGTAGACTTCAAAGCATTTAACAAAGGATTCATTATCCCCATTTGCCAGATGGGGAAACTGAGGCACAGATATTTGCCCAAGATCACTGAGCAAGCTGTGGCAGATAGAATCACAGAATATCAGGATTGGAAGGGACCTCAGGAGGTCATCTAGTTCAACCCCCAACTAAATCATCCCAGCCAGGGCTTTGTCAAGCTTGATCTTGAAAACCTCAAAGGAAGGAGATTCCACCACCTCCCTAGGTTAACGCATTCCAGTGCTTCACCACCCTCCTAGTGAAAAAGTATTTCCTAATATCCAACCTAAACCTCCCCCACTGCAACTTGAGACCATTACTCCTTGTTCTGTCATCTGCTACCACTGAGAACAGTCAAAATCCATCCTCTATGGAACCCCCTTTCAGGTAGTTGAAAGCAGCTATCAAATCCCCCCTCATTTTTCTCTTCCGCAGACTAAACAACCCCAGTTCCCTCAGCCTCTCCTCATAAGTCATGTATTCCAGTCCCCTAATCATTTTTGTTGCCCTCTGCTGGACTCTTTTCAATTTTTCCACATCCTTCTTGTAGTGTGGGGCCCAAAACTGGACACAGTACTCCAGATGAGACCTCACCAATGTCAAATAGAGGGGAACGATCA